TTATTCTAAAAGAGACTTCAGATTTTCTAAAGGAATTTGTATGCATCCCTCCAGTTTCATCCCCAAAACTAAGGAATAAAGTTGTCCTGGATAAGCTTATATGTTTTTTGAATCCCCCCCCACCTCCCCAGGGTTCGAGGAGCTTATTATTTCCACACTTTCAGTTCTTCAGGAGCAGTGATGAACCCTCAAGAACGCAAAACGGCTTGCAGGCCCCAAGTGATTAGCTCAGAACTTGCTCAGATCACTACCGCACTACTTCTGCAGGACGCTTCTACCTCTGAGGCCCTATGGTTATTATTGTTTTACTAACAAGCTTACTTCAAAAAAATTATTTTTAAATCTAGTTGCCACCCATACACTTTGATAACAGGAAAAAAGATACAATTTCCTAAGCACAGATGATTTGGTATATCACTGACATTTTCTTCTACATCTTACCCTGATAATCTATTTTATCTCTTATCTATGTCTGTTAAGAAAACTTCTCTCCCCACTGAAAAACTAAAGGATTAAAATTAGCATTATATGAAGCATCGAATTTAATTACCAACTACAGTTACAAATAGATTCACACTGTGCCTTCAAATCAGAAAAAAGTATTCAGCGAATAGCTAAAATGAAGCTGCTGACTTCCTGCCCACTGATAAACATCACAGACTATGAGGTATTTCTTCAAATAGATAAACTGAACAAGCAAAATGAAAATCTGAGCAGATCACACATTAATTGTGCTTTGAAAAAGCACAAACACTTTCTTATACAGCTGGGTATTATATAATCTTAACTGAAAGAGAACTGGAGGGAAAAAATAAGCCAGAAGGCGAGAAGAAAACTAAGTGGGTTTCCTTTCTTGCAGTGAAAAGGCTACGGAAAAAAAAAAAAAAAAATTAAAAAAATAATCCAGCTGTATTGAAACAAGATTTCCATATCATAAGACTGAAATCAAATTATATATGTGTCTCTCTTTTTTCCACAAAAATTACAGATTTAAGAGCCACAACTTTTAGTCTCAACAATGTTACAGGTGTCTAGGGGCACCATGTGTTACTAATAAGCTAACATTTATTCCAAATGTATCTTGGCATAAATTTTAAGGAAGCTACTATATACCAAAAATGTTTTAACACAGAGAAAGACCTAGAAATAGGGGTGTTCAGGTCTTCACTCCCAGGGAAGTGTACACATGTGCACATTCAGCTCATATCTACTCAAAAAGATTAAGGTTTCTGAACTACTTCATTTGGCAGCATCACAAATTCTGTCTATCCATGTTACTCCCATGAACCACAGGACTCTTCCACTTCATAAAAGCAGAGGATGTATTTACTGCTGTTAGCAGCACTGAGAAGGAAGCACTAAGTTCTTCCTTCTCAAGAGCCACCCCTCACTAAATGATGTGCATGCACGAGTCCAGGACTGCAGGGCAGAATGCTCTGAGCACTAGCACCACTCCTATGCCTGCCTGGGGCCTCTTGTGAGGCCAAGATGCCAGGCATCTGGGGGTTTCACTGGGCCAGCAGATCTGCTTGTAGGTGGCTCACTCACAAGGCTGGTGCCTAGGGCTGGTTTCTGATGAGACAACGCGATGGTCAGCTTCCTCCAAACAAATTATTAGAGGGGCTAGGAAGAGAGGGAATCACGTGAAGCTATTTCCTTTATGAACCAGCCTTAGAAACCACACTATCACTTCTAGCACTATCACTGAAGTGCTGGTACAATGATAAAAATTTGTTTTTCAAAAACAATTCCTCTTATAATTATACTATTTACCAATTTATACTGACAAACACATGTAAGAATACTTTTGGTCTGTCTGAGAGAGAGTTTCTCTTTGTAGTTCAGAGTACCCTTGAATTCATGTTACTTAAACTAGCCTCAAACTCATGGTGACTTTCCCACCTCAGCTTCCCAGTGCTGGGATTACAGGCGTGCGCCACCATGCCTGGCTAGAAGAACAATAAATCTTACGAGTAGCATCTTTTAAAATTTTCTACCATCTTTCACCACTTTGTGGTGGTGGGAGACTGGTTAATCTCCAACCAGAAATATAAAAATGCTTCTTAAATCTTTAAACGCTATCGTGTGGGGCTTTCTGGTACTTAAGCACTATAGGAAAACAAGAAAATTATGGAAACACTCTGAGAAAATACCAAATTCAGCTTCTGTGGCTTTTTTTGGATGAGGCCAAAGCCCTTGGACAGAAACAGCTTGGACTGGACTGAGCATGTATCATGGAAAGATATGCAACTCTAATATGTTAGTCATCGAGCTATTTTTTAAGAATCAAGTATCACAGATGATACTTGCCCACACAAGATGACCAAAAACTTGAGTGCACCATCCTGTCTGTAATTGCAGAAATTCTGTTCAGCCCTGACAGTCTGTGAGGAGCCAGGCGGGATAGGAATACATCCCTAACATTCCCAAACCACAGCATGATTACTACTGTGATCCCTACCCAGCAACCACCAGTCGTCTCACAGATTACAAGGCTGTGAGATGACATCTGAATGATTCATTCACGAGAATTTATGAGAGTGAATATGTTTAACAGCCATCCTCAGAATGCATCCCAAGGGCGGACCTCCTTCCAGCCAACATGCAACACGAGACCCCACCCTGTCCCATGCACAGGTATGGAGTAGCCACAGAGGGCAAAGCTGGGATCAGTCAGGCTCCCCTTCTGTTCCTTGCCAGGTATGGCACCTTGGACAGTCTTGACTCTCTAAGTTTCTGTTCCTCATCTATAAAATGGGCACGCAGGTGCTTACCTAAGAGGCTTGTTTGGGTCAGCCTAGTAGAGCATAAGCACTTAATGATTGCGATTTCTTTCAACACATATGCATTTCTTTAGCACCCTCCTCACCCTAAAAAGGATCTCTTTTTTTTCTTTCTCTATACCTTACAAGCTTTCCTTTATAGCACGTTCTAGTTTCTAATTATAATTACTTTCCATTTTGATGATCTGATTAACACGACTCTTTACCATTGGACTATAAAATTCATAAAAAAAGAAGTGTTGATGGATTTTTCCCATATATCCAACATCTAGAATAGCAGTGACAATATATTGGATGCTCAATAAACACCTGAACTAATAAACCATGCTGACAAATGCACAAGATACAAAGATGAGAAACACAGTACCAGTCCTTATCAGGAGGGCTCTCTGGTACTGAACTTACAAAAATGTGCCACCACACTAGACATTAGTGTTTTATTAAATATGAAATTAGGCAGTGGTATCAAGACTCCAGGATGCAGAATATGTTAAAAACTAGTATTGTAAAACTCCTCGAGGCCTACCAGGTTTTAAAGACAAGAGCCTATTACGTTTCTACTTAGTTAAGTGATTGTCAGTTTTGAAGAGGGAAAGAAGGCCATAAAATATCTATCGACTGAGTTCTGTTCTGTTCATGTTCCTTTCAGCACTAATGGTACAGTGATAAAGAGGACTCAGCATTTATTGAACTTCTAAAAATGGTCCTTTATAGATATTAAATCATTTCAGAAACTTTTTATGCTACCATCCCTATTTTACAGATGAGAAAAACAGAGGTCTGAGAAAGTAAAGTAACCCAGTCAGTCACTTGTGTAAATGAAGAGTTTAGCAAGGCTGAAAAATGACATCCGTTCAACTTCAAAGCCTGTGTTCTCTGTGTTAGTTAGCTATCTTCCTTGCCCCAGTTTTCTACAGGGTTAGAGACAGATGACTTCTTAGAGAGGGGACCCCTGGGCAGGCCAGGTGGTACTTACATACTGATATGAGCCAGACAGTTGGATACTCACTGCATGTGGCCAAGCGTCTCCTTTCCTGCAGTGTCAGAGCCTACCATTTCTTGTGGCTGTCTCCTGTTTCTCTTAACTTTGTTTGTTTCTTATTCAAAATAGTTTTAACTCCAAGTCAACAATGGCATTAGACCAAAGCTAAAATATTTAGTCACACAAGTTATCTGACATCGCCATGGACAAAAGAAAAGATGATACTCTGACAGCTGACAGATCTGTCTGAGTTTGAACTTAGATTTGTCCCCTCTAACTTTCATGCCAGGTTGATGGTCTATATTGATTTCTCAAACATGCACAAGCACACTCATGAAGAAAAGATTAGTTGGGTACTGAGGCACATGACTGTAATCCTGACATTTAGAATACCAAGACTGGATGTTGCTAAGTTTTAGTCTAGCCTGAGCAACTAAACACAATCCTGTGCGCGCGCACGCGTGTGTGCGCACGTACATGCGTGTATCACTGGGGATGGGTGTAGCTCAGTGTGAGGGTCCTGGGGTTGGAGTGCTAGCACTACCCCTCCCCCGAAAAGGGAAAAGATTCCTATGTACTTAACTGAGGCCACTAAATCACAGGCTGAAACACACAGATGTGTCTTGACAAAATCTGCCAGTTCTTCACGACAAAATAAAATGTACTTCAACTATTTTTATTTTTTTGCAGTACTGGGGACTGAACGCAGGACCCTGTGCTTGCCAGGCAGGTGCTTATTCTACTGAGCTATCTTCCTGGCCCAACTATTTATGTATGTATCAATGTATGTATGTATGCATGTATGCATGTATGCATGTATGCAGCGCAGGGCCCACAGGGTCGCTCTAGGTAGATCCAACTCACAGTGGTCCTCCTGTTTTCAGCCTCCCAAGTGCTGGGGTTACAGGCGTGCGCCACCACGCGCAGCCTCAACCATCATCTCAGCACACCCTGGGGGCGGGGCTGGCACAGCCGGCCCAGGGACGGAGCCCTGGCTGCTGCACTCTGCCTAAGCAAGCGCTTTAGTAAGCTGAGCGATCTGGCCAGCCCTATTTTTATTTTTAACTGTAGAAACATTTATAAATGTTGGCTGGTTGACAGAGAAAAAAAGAAACACTGAATTTCTTTAATCTACTTACATTTCTACTTGTATCTAGTCTTTTATAAACATCCTCCATAGAGAACACTGTACATATTACTTATCATTTATACAACCTGATTTGGTAGCTGCTTACCTTGGCCAGAATTGTATATTGCTTTCACAGATTTCTTCACTTTCTGTAGGGCTGTTCTATCTTGGTCTAGAGCCTAAAGAAAACAACAAACAAAAAACAGGAAAGAAGATGTTGGAAATTTTGGTACATTAAAAAAACAACAAGAAAACTGATTCATAACTGTATTTTTTTGCTGCGCACCAAAGCAATAACACACTGACAAATTTATGAACAATAAACTATCTCAGAGCCTAGAAATGTCAAGTAACTATGTACTGGAGTAACTGTGTTTTTGCTTAAGTGCAGAGTCACTCACAAAGCTCAGTGTTGGGGAAACAGCAGGTTGGTGGCTGACCAGTTTCCTTGCTAAGAAATTACAAGGCACACAGGAAATCCTAAGACTGTTTCTCCCTAATGAGCTTATAATCTCATAAAGGAAAAAAACAAACGTAAGACATGATGACTAATACCAAGGGAACAACACACATCATCTAGTGGTAATTTCATCCAAACAAAAAGGATTTAGGGATAGTGTAATAGAAATGACCTTTCCTCCGTGCTTTTTACATTTGAGGGTTTTAGTGTTTGAAAAAGATTAACTCTGGCATATGGAAGTGGTTTTGTGAGGCTGCTATATTTTTAAAAATCTGTCTACTAAAAGAATATAGGATGGAAATGCTATACAACATTGGTGATGCTTTTAAATAATGCAGTAGATGGTAACGACACATCTACCCAATCTGTATGTGGGACAGCTGCTGTTGACTTTCAATCCAGGTGTCAGGTATGTCCGTGTGTTAAAATTCATCGAACTGCACACTGAAAATGTGGACCCTCTCCTGTTGAAATTGTACTTCAAGAGCAAGTTTACAATGAGGTGTATTCCGTACGTAATAGGGCACACTGAGCAGCCACAAGAACATCTCTGCTTCCCCAACAGGCTGAAGTGCACAGGCTGGGAACGGCTAGATGGTACATCAAGATTTGGAGGACACAAGCAATAAAAGTAATGATGATAAACTTGCAGATGTGTAAGCGCATGGTGCTGGGGATCAAAACCACAGCCTCACGCGTGCTAAGCAAGAACTCGAACCATTGAGCTGCACCTCCATACTCCAAATATACAACTATAAAAACATTAAAAAAGCTTTATTTTATTTTATTATGTGTTAGGTACAGGGTCTACAGGGTCTCCCTACACGGACTGGACTTGTAGTGATCTTTCCTGCTTTTCAGCCTCCCAAACTCTGGGACTACAGGTGCGCGTGACCGTGCCCAGGCTCAATCGCTGTCTCAGAATGCCCTGGGGGCAGCGCCAGCATGGCATTAGTGGACCCCAGGCCACGGTGTCTGCCTACGCAGCTGCTTTAATCCTCTGAGTTATCTGGCCAGCTCTACAAAAACATTAAATGTATACTTAAAGTATTACAGATTTTAAACCGCAGAACTCTGTGATGAGAAACCCAGAATATTAAGCACTTTCCTTAAGGTCATCACAGGGGGCCTGCCCCTTAGCTCAGCTCTTTAAGTGGCTGCCTCAACAAAGCAGTCAGGCTCAGGTTGCTGTGGTTCGATCCCCACAACTCAAGCCAGCCAAACCTGTCCTGAAGGCATTAAAAAAAAAAAAAAAAAAAAAAAAAATCCTTCAGGTCATCACAGAGAGCTGAAAGGGATAAATGCAAAGAGAGAAGGCACCTGTTGTGCCCTTTCCTGAAAAGTGCTCTTTTACTAAATACGTAGCTCAACTCTGGCTCCAACATCATTTTCCTCCAGGTCCTGTTCTTTAGACAAGCAAAGGCTGGCCAGCAGATGGATACCCGACTCACAGTGGGTTAGAAGTCCTTTCTAGGATTTCTGGGACTGGGAATCCCAATGCCAGCTCCATTCTGATCCCAATGCCATTCTCATTTTGATGAGGTGGTCACAACTTACTACATGGTAGCTATAATGTCTATGACATACAAGTTACCAATCATGATACATCTGTTATCTTCCTGCACTGGATCTTAGAACTAGAACTAGAACTAGGCCCTGTGAAATACCATCTCCAGTTCTAGGAATTGTGGTAGGCATCAATAAATAACGGTAGCAATGGAGAGGAAGGTAAGAACTAGTTTGTCCAAGGTCACACAGCCAGAAAGAGCTGAACCCACCACCTTTCACACTTGTTTCTACCACACTCCAAAGCACACGCTTTTTCTATTGGGATGCTGGCACAGAAGTCAGCAATTTCACACTATAAACTAATGCTACTTTCACCATCCCTTTCATTTACAATACTGCAACAACTTTTGCCACACCAATGGCCCACTAATATTTTTGTTTTATTAATATTTCTCTTTACATCTACTCGGTCCTTAAAAAAAAAAAAAAGCTTAATGACTGCATTGTAAAGTCACAATAAATGAAAATTTAAGATCATTTGCCATTTGTTCTGGTTTTTATCTAAAGTGTTTCTCAAAAGGCTCATTTCTTCAGCTAGGACTTGTGGAAGGTACTTGGTCATGATGGATTCATAGTTAAGTGCTCAGCAGAGGTGAGGCAAGCCTCAAAGTGGTGGCGAGTTGAAAGGAGTAGGCCATGAGGGATGTGCAGTCTTCCGGGACCCCTCCTCTTGAGTTTTCTCTTTTTACACTTTTGCTGTCACTAGATGAGCAGCCTCCTCTGCCAGTGCTCTCATCTTAACAATATTCCTTCTCACCTCAGGCCCAAAGCAATGGGACCAACTGACCTCGGACTTAAACCTTTAAAATCATGAGCCAAAATAAAACCTTCCTCTTTTAAGTTGTTTTTCTCAAGTATTTTGTCATACTGCTGAAAAGCTGACCAACACACCATTAATAGCAGATAGGTTCAAAACTACTATGTACCGCTAACTATATAATATGTTCATCTACTCAGGACCCGAAGTCAACTTACTTACATACCTATTACAGGGGATACTACGTGTAAGCAAATGTTTCATGAGACAGATGAGAAAAATTGGTTAGAAAGATTAGCTTGTTTGGAGTGGTAGAGATGGAATTTGAATGCAGAACTTGACAACAAAACCTCATTTCCTAACTCTACCTAGGCCTACACTCCATTAATCCATGACAGGATGAAACTAAAAACTATGAAATTAATACCTAAATGTTAATGTCCATGTATATTAAGAGGTAACTACCACAATGACCAAAAGGGACACAGAAAATTTCAGCCATAATTTACAAAATCATCTACCTACTTTCTTTTGGGGGAATACAAGGGAAAGGCGGAGGTTGAGAATTTATGTTGTCTGTTTACCAACTTATCCATGAACTGGTAAGTGTATAAAGTTCCCATAATTACTTTCAAGGGTTATTAATAGCTCTCCCATTTGACAGCTACAGTCCCGGTTAAGGCCTGGGTAACACTCCTGTCTTTTAAGCTCCTGTGTGTGGCAAAAAGAAGCCAAGTAAAACGCACTTCACAAGCCCCACGTTAGAGACTCTAGGGATACTGTTCTTCAATCATATAAAGCTTCCTTCAGAAACAGCATGGCTACATATGCTACGTTCCCTCAACTGTCAGGCAAATAATTGAAGTGATATCAAATGAAATGTCATGTATGTAAGATCAGATAAGGGCTAAAAGAAAAATAGCAATAAAATTTTTATCTTCTAAATCGTTAAAAGCGTAACAAATGTGCCTGGTTCCTAAGTATGTACTGGATGTTGACCATCTCATAGGGACAAGAAGCAGGAAGAGAATGAATTAACAAATGAATACAAAAGAATCTGCTTGTCTTTAATAAGAGAAAAGCACCTATCTATCTAAAATTTTGCAAGATGGCAACTTTATATTACTATGTCTACATAACTAAAGAAGCAGGGATGCTAAACTAGCAAGCATTTCCAACCTTGATGTGAACATCCTTTACTGTTTTTTAGGGGGCAGGCAGTACTGGGGTTGAACACAAGGTCTCCTTACTGAGCTACAACACCAATCCTTTTTCATTGAGGTATAACTTGTTTACACTAAATAAGCAATGACAATCAATGCTAGTCATTATTTAAGATTTTTTAGTTCAAAATTCGTTTTAGTTATACTCAAGCAGGAAAAAGAACCTCTTAGATTTGATGCATGGCAAGCACGAGGTCCTGAGTTCAATTCCCGGTACCACAAAATAAATAAATAAATAAATAAATAAATACAGATTTGACTTCAAAAACAAGCATAAATCTTTGAAGCTGAATCTTATGAGTATAATTACAGAGAAAATAGTCCATGACAATAAGATAGTGGCACAGAATTGCTAGAGATACAGAAGCAGACAGAAATCGTGGTTACATTAAGGCACCCATGATTATTATCAAGCCCCACGAAATTCAGATGCTCACACTGCTCCTCACAGTGGTTCCAAGAGAGAACTTTCTGATGTCCCTGGGACAGAAACAGTAAAACATCTCAGAAACATGCACTCCTATACCAAAATGATGTCTTCATTTTTTTTCTTTTTTTGGTGGTACCTGGGATTGAACTCAGGACCTTGCACTTGCCAGGCAAGCACTTACTCTCCTGACCTATCTCCCCAGCCCAGAATGATTTCTTAATGAAAGGAGTTTTTACTCACTTGGAAAGAGTGTTTCCCTTTTTATTTCTTTTAGCTATAAATAGATCATTTCAAAAATATGTTATATACTTTAAAATATCCCAAAATGGATTTGGTAGGGTTAGAAGGTGATGAGGAAAAAGAGGAGAATGATTAAAGTAGATTATGTATACATGCAAATCTTATAAAATGAAATCCATCAATTTGTATGACCAATATATGTTAATAATAGTTTGGGTTTTTTTAACCGTGGTACTGGGATCAAATCTAAGACCTTGTACATATTAAGCACCCAAATGCATTTTAAAAGATGTATTTGTCCTATACACACCATTTGTTTCAGACCTCCATTACTTTAACCTTTTGCTTGTTGGGCAACTGTGTATCAAGAGGGGAGTACAACAACTTCTGACATTGCCAGTCATGGGGAAAACCCACTACTATTATAGATTACTGGACTATATTGGATTACTTTGCTGAATTCATGCACCTACACTATATGAATGGCAACAGGATACCCA